AGTCTGGTCGTGTACAATTTGTCAAGTACATCAGACTCCCTATTATCTGCGAATATTCCAACTGAGTCACTGGTTGACCTTTATTGGCTACCAGATCTATAATAAGATCAAGGGGCGTCTTACACCTAGAATGTGCACCGTCACAGGCATCAAATTTCTTGAACACTTTCTCTACATAATGAGATTGGGACAAGACAATTCCATCTTGGGTTCTGATAATCCTTATTCCAAGAATAAAATCAGCCAAACCAATATCTTTCATGCTGAAATTTCTATTCAACATTCTTTTCATATCCATGATCACTTCATGGCTACTCCCCATGATCAATGAATCGTCTACATATAGACATACAATCACAAATATATTTGATTTACTCTTGACATAAACACATTTGTCACATTCGTTGATTTTGAAATCATTTGACAACATCACGTCATCAAATTTCAAATGCTATTGTTTCGGAGCTTGTTTTAGTCCGTACAATGATTTGATCAATCTACACACCTTTCTCTCTTGTCTAGGTGCAACAAATCCTTCAGGTTGTTCCATGTGTATTTCTTCTTCCAATTCACCATTCAAAAATGTCGTCTTGACATCCATTTGGTGAATCTCAAGATTTTGCAAAGCAGCAATCGTGAGAAGCACTCTTATCGATGCTAAACGCGTAACTGGTGAATAGTTATCAATGAAATCATACCCTTCTTTCTGTTTCTTTGACCACCAATCGTGCTTTAAACTTATCAATTGATCCATCAACTTTATATTTCCTCTTTAGGATCCACTTGCATCCTAAAGGTTTACATCCCTCAAGGAGATCAACCAACTCCCAAGTATGATTTTGCAAAATGGACTCGATTTCGCTATTAACAACTTCTTCCCAGAGTGGTCCATCTAGGCTGGACATTGCTTCCTTAAGGTAACTCGGTTCATCGTCCACCATATACGTAATAAAATCAGGTCCAAACATTTTTGCCGTTTTTACCCTTTTACTACGTCTCGGTTCTTCATCTATACCCTCTGGTACAAAACTACTAGCAGTTTCATACATTCGTTAATTAGAACTAGATTCTGCCCTTTCCTTCAGAGAAAAAATATTCTCAAAGAATATAGCATTCCTCGAATCAATCATGGTACCCCACAGATACCTCTGGATTTTCTGATTTGTGAACCAGAAATCTATATGTTGTACTATTGTACGCATATCCAATGAATACACAATCGACCGTCTTTGGCCCGATTCTCACTCGTTTAAGTTCAGGTACTGAAACCTTAGCCAAACATCACCACACTTTCAGGTACTTATAAGACGGCTTACGATTTTTCCACATTTCGTAAGGAGTCTCACATTTTTTGGGGTAATCCTAAATTTATCAACATGGCATTCATCATTTCCTTTAACGTACGGTTCTTGCGTTCAACAACACCGTTTGACTGTGGAGAATAAGGGGTCGTCGTTTGATGAATTATGCCATATTCATAACATATTTGTTCAAAATGAGCTACATACTCCCACCCCTATCACTTCGGATTATTTTAATCCTTTTGTCGAGCTAATTTTCAACTTCGGTCTTATAGATTTTAAATGCTTCCACAACCTCGTCTTTTCTTCTTAACAAATATAAGTAGCAAAACTTTGTGCAATCATTGATAAAAGAAATAAAATATTTTCTACCCGTTCTTGTTTACACACTTTTCAAATCACATACATCACTATGGATCAAGCCTAATGGTTCAGTACTTCTTTCCACCGAGTAAAAAGACAACTTAGCCATTTTTGCTTCAATACAAATTTCACATTTTGTATTTGTCTCAAATTTAGAATTAGGAATTAATTCAAAATTCATCAACCGTTTAATTGCATTTAGATTTGCATGTCATAATCTAATATGTCATAAATCTGAGCACTCAACGGTATAAACATAAATAGGCTTTTCATTTTCAACGGTTACACGGCTCACGACCATTACATTTATTTTGAACAAACCCTTGTCGAGATAACCACGACCAAGGAATGTTCCAAACTTGCTAAGAACAAACTTCTTAGCATCAGACACCAGCCTAAATCCATGCTCAACAAGAAGAGATGCAGAGACCAAATTCTTGCAGATGTCTGGGACATGCAGAACATCCTTAAGCTTAAACTCCTTTCCAAAAGTTAGCTTCCGCACCACAGTGCCAACTCAAACCACATCAGATGTGGAGGAGTTTCTCATGTGATGTTTCCGACCATTAGAAGGAGTGTAGTCAGAAAACAACTCATTGTCAAAACACACATGGCGAGTGGCACCAGTATCGATGTAGCACTCTCTCGGGTTGTCCACCATATTGGCTTCAAACACCACTGTCGACATATCAAAGTCGGTCAATTCACCCGGCAAAGAGTCGTCTTCAGCAACAAGGGCACTTGTTGTGCCTTCTATTGCACAACCTTCTCCGGCTTCTTGCAATCCTTAGCCATATAGTTTGGATTTCCGCAGTTGTAGCAAGTGCCGGTAAACATCCAATTCTTGGCAGGCTGCTTTCTCTTGATCTGGGTCTTTCTTTTGCTCGAGTTGCCTTGCTCCAGTAAGTTGGCACGAGCTTCCATCATCGGGACTTTTCCTGACGACTTCTGGTTGTCCTCCTCGATACGTAGACGAACTACCAAGCCTTCAAGACTCATCTCATTTCTCTTGAGTTTCAGATAGTTCTTGAAGTCCTTCTAGCCTGGTTGCAGCTTTACGATCACAGCCGCTACTTGGAATGACTTGCTCAAAGTCATCCCTTCAGCATGGATATCATGCAAGATCAGCTGGAACTCTTACAATTGTGACACAACAGTCTTCGTGTCAACCATGTTAAAGTCAAGTTTCCGACGACGAATTTCTTTGCCCCGGTATCCTCAGTCTTGTACCTCTTCTCCAAGGCAGCCCAAAGCTCCTTGGCAGAACAAACAGAGTTGTACACGTTGTACAACTCGTTCCTAAGTCCATTCAAAACATAGTTCCGACAAAGGTAATCACCTTGCCCCCAAGCTTCGTACGCTGCGTGTAGTTCAACATTGGTTTCATTTTTAGCAACAAGAGGGGGATTGTCTTTCAGATACTTTGCCAAACCTAAGGTGGTTTGCTAGAAGTGCATCTTCTGCTACCACCTCTTGAAGTCAAGACCGTTGAATTTTTTGGGTTTTTCGGCAGTCGGGACCTGAACAGTAGACACCAAATAATAATGTTGAATAGAGTTGTTGATCAGCTGCTGAGAGCTGGAACCTGCTCCGTCGGATGCAATCAGTTCAGTAGTTAAATATTCTTCTTGCGATTGATAGAAACTTTGTGAAAAAATACAAGGGAATCCTACGAACTGAAGTGTATTTATCAGTTCTTACAAATAATCTAAAAATAGAAAATTACAATTGAACTGAAAAATAAATTACAACTGAAAAAATCGGAAAGATTTTAGCCGAGGCGAGTAAACTCTTTTTGCAAGAAGAATACGCCCCGTGTGTTGCTGACGCTCGGGCATAACTTCCCCAAAAATACAATTTACAAGCTCCGGCGAACTGGAACGGAGTCGAAAATTGAGCACTTAAAAAAATAGGAATAAAAATATCTCTCTGATAATTTTTCTCTATTTCTATCACTAATATTTTTATCCTAAATATTATTTTGGGACTGAATATTTTTTTCTCTTTCTTTTCTTTCTCCCTCTCTTCCTCTATTCTTTTTCTTCCGTCTGGTGTGACTTCCATCAGCAGAAGACCCTCATATATATAGATGAAAGTGAGGAAGCAGAACATGGCTTGACATACTGTATTATTACAATTATTGTTATAAAAGCAAAGAATAAGTATGGGCACATGCATGGGCAGCATATTGATCAAGTGGAAGAGGAAAAAATTGATTTTCCTTCGCGTGGGCACATGCATTCCAATTTGACAAATGCGAGACAAAGTAAAGTGGATGGGTCCCACTTAATAATTTCCACTCAATTCATACAGGGTATTAATGTATTACTAATTTGCCCTTAAAAATGTCAAACTAAGACTTCGTAGGTGGTTCACTTTTTTATAAAATTACTAGTCTTTTTAGAATATAATATACAAATGAACTAGGTTTTGTATTATAAAAGGAATACCCTTTTCCGTGGTTAACACTTTTCTACAGTGCAGGGACCAAGAATTTGCACAACTCAAAATGTTTAAACAGAAGTTCTCCTTGCAGCTACCATAAACGGATGTCCGACATTATCCATTATGTTCTCAGTAGACCCCCAGCATCGCCCTGTCTCGTACCATCCACAAGCAAATGTTGTTCAATGCGATCAACTCTGAAAAATTAACTCAACTGATGTATTTGAATTCGGCGTAGCACCCACAAGACGACTCGAAAATCTGATATTGCATCATCTTTGTATGATCGTACAAACCATTTGAGTTTTGACATCATTCTTAGAATTTGAACTGCCAAAGTGATCGTCTTCCTATTCCTCGTGCTGCGATGCCAAAAGAATTATAATCTTTCGTATTAATAACCGAGCTGAATTCCTTAGGGCTTGCGGTAAAAATCAAATGATGCTGCAGCAATAATAGGATGGTGTTTTACTGCATTTATCTAATGGCAATAACAATTTAAGGTAACAAGTAAAAGCACGCGCATACTCATCTCACTAGACTTTACAAGGGTTCAACGTTTAATTAAAGCTAGGTTTCTTCTTCTTCATCTTTCTTTCTTTATTTTTTTTTTATTTGTTTTTTTT